CTTCCTTCCTTCCTTCCTTCCTTCCTTCCTTCCTTCCTTCCTTCCTTCCTTCAATTTATATGACCAGGAGACACTACTTATTTATTTCTTCATTTCTTCATTCATTTCTTCATTCGTTCATTCAATTTATACATCTCATATGCATGATCCTGGGCGGCTACCCGTTAAAAACAGAATAAAAACAGTAAAAACCACCAAAATTAAAAAGAACATAACTGACCTTAAATAACACAGCAGCTCGGAACCCTCCTGACATCCCATAGTTAATACCACCGTGACCAAGAAATGGGCTCCCCCTCGTCAATCCTGGGGCTCTCGTCTTCCTCCTTCCTCACCTTTGTGATGCGTTTGCAGAGAGGAAGGCAGAAGATTCCTTGGAGAAAGAATGCAGGATCCGCTAAGGGAGGAGAAACGGCAACTTGGTCCTGGGAAACGGGAACGGGTGGGAAAGAGGCTCAGGGTAACCCCGCCTTGATTCCCTTTGGTATAAGAAGGGGCAGAGAGAAATTCTGGCAGGCTTTGGAGATTCTGTTACAATACCCTACAACAGTGATTCTCAACTTTGGCAACTTGAAGATGCGTGGACTTCAACTCCCAGAATTCTCCAGCCAGCATGTCTGCACGGTCTACACATCTTAAAGCGTGCTGGCTGGGGAATTCCGGGAGTTGAAGTCCACGCATCTTCAAGTTGCCAAGGTTGAGAAACGCTGCCCTGCAACAATAAAGTAGCCTTCCTGGAATCCTTGCTCCGTCTGTTCCCTGACTGGCCTACCTCAGAGGGCTGGCAGTTGGGGACAGCTGCAGCACCCTCTGTAGAGGGTTGGTGGTTGGGATGAGGCCCGATTCAGATGGACGAGGACATGTCCATGAAGTCACCAGAAGTTCAGCTTAACCTGAAAGAGACCTTATATTTTATGGAGCTTGAGACACAAATGAAAAATGGCACTCCTCCCACTTAGTTTAGTGCCACGCACAGAGAGAGCACCATCTAAAGGTGAAATTAACCACTTTCACATTTTTGGGGAACTTAACAGTACATATGAACGCACTCATTCAAATGGGAATTTTGCCACTTTTAAAAAGTATTTTAGGGAAAAGTCCACACAAAAGCTCCATGTGCAAAAAAAGGGGCAGGGCTTCAATCGCACAGTTGCGGCCGCCATCTTGACTTTTTTGACCCCTATCCCATGACACCCCTGGTACACACGAATGGGAGCGTGAACTTCAAAAAAAGAAAGAAAGAAAGAAGCTGAATTTAATTGATTTCTCTTTCCCTGTGGAGGCATCGGAGGAGGAGACGGCTGGTTTCTTTCAGGTGCTTTTTCTTGGAAACTGATGATTGATTTTTCTTTGACAGGAAGTGAAGGTTTGCTCCGCATCCTACAAATATCAGAAGAAACCACAAATGAACCACGTTGACGTGCTGTGCTATTGGTAAGGCTGCAGACAAGAAGGTGCTTTTTTGGCAAAATTAAATGGTGTTCCATTTTTTTTTGTCTTGAATATGTAGCCCAAATCCATCCAGGGTGTCCGCGATGTGGGGAGGGCAGAGATTCCTGCATTGGAATTCGCACAGCCCCCCTTCAGAGACAGATGCCTCTTCCAGGGACGTAACAGGCTCCGGAAAGAGTTAAATATGCTTGGTTTTGACGACTTGCTACCTCTGTGATCTTGGCCAGGTCTAACGTTTCTGGGCTGAAAATCCCAGGGAGTTTGCCAGCCCCTTTTCCAACTAACAAATGTAATTAAAAAGCGTATAAACTGTGCAGCTCCCTTCCACAGATGCACAGAGAGCAGAGGCTGATGTAGGGTGATGTAATCTCACCCCAATTTAAATCCTGCATCAGTCTAGTCCTGGGTTTCTCAGCCTGAGCAGTTTTCAAATGTATGGACTTCATGCTGGCTGGAGAATTCTGGAACTTGAATTGTGCATCTGTGCATCTGGTGAAGGGAATTGCAGTTCATGAAAGCTTACGCCTTCGAATAAAATGCGTTCGTCAGAAAAGAGGCTAGCAAACTCCTGGGGTTTTGGGTTACCGTAAGTTAACCCTGCTCTCCTCCTGCAATATCTGGGCTGCAAAGATTGGTTTGACCACCAGGCAGCAGCAAAGATACCCTGAAAATATTACAGTAATCCTTGGCTGCCTCCTGGTGGTCATCTGAATTTTTCAGGTTTCTTTTTCAGATTTTTTTCTGGAAAAAAAAATTCAAGATTTTTCAAAGGCAAGATGTGGCATGTCTCGCCTTGAGCCCCTGGAATCCGAAGGAAGGAAATGTGGAAGCCGAGGGTTATGATTTAAATATTTAAATAAATTGGCATGGCTAAGTTGGAAATCATCCCAAGTGCATTTCCTTGGAGGAGAAAGTCTTCTCATTTAGAGGAAGTGAGGTGAGGTCAAAAGTGCATCTGAGCATGTTCAGAGTCCTTCCCGAAAAAGAAAAACGGCAACAAACCAAGGTTTATTTTTCAAGAGTCGTAAATGCTTTTAACAGGGGGGTAGATTCCAGAGAAATGGCATTTTCTTGGCCACACTTTTGGGATCTCAGGCTGCAGATCCAAACTGGGAATCAATACAGAAACTCTCTTGACGCTCATTCTCACCAGGTGGTCCCTTTTCTTTGCAGATCAAACTGGCCTCCACTGTGGAACGTCAGCACTTGCTTCTTTAAGAGAAACTCAGAATATTTTCTGATCTTTTGCTTTGCACAGACGACAAACATCCTAAAAAACCCCCTGCCAGAATAATTGTGGTCCCACTGGATCCTCTGCAAAACACAACGAAGTTTATTGTGGACCCCTCTGGGCCTGTTGGCAAAGGGTTCAATAGGAATAAAAGATATTTCTCGCAGCCAGGCCCGAGTATTTCTATTCTCCGAGGCGTTTGGGGCAGGAAAAAAGCAATCGCCGTCATTTCCTCTTCCTGCCTTTGTGCTGCGTTCTTGCTGAATGGACCTTACGTTCTTCGTTTCTACCTGCCGTCCCAAAAATTGTGCTTGAAAGTTGATCTAAAAATCTGATGCACGGAAGAAGGCAGGGGATTAGAAATACCTTTTAGTTGTCGACAGGACACCTTCCCCAAACTGGTTTAATGCGGGGGGGGGGAAGCATCTGTTGTCCTCTGCATATGTGCTCAGAAATTAAGTCCCATTGAATGTAACATGACCCACAGTTTAGCCCT